TAAAAATAAGATTGCTAGAAATGACCAAAGATTGCATGTGTGGGGAGCAACCCGGATTAGACTGAGTTACTGGAATTAAGACTTATTCTATGCATCTGCTCTCCCACAATATGGCGCTGGGAGAGAAGAAAACAGCTTTTACACAGCTGCCTCCAGTTCAACCAATAAACTGTAGGACTTGCTCCTGATTGGAGAGCAGCGTACTCGGCGTGTGGGTAGCAGAGTTGGGATTGGCAGAGGAGGACTATAAAGGAGGAGAGAGACGGCATGCACCAGGAACATCTAAGGGGAACATCTGAAGGAACACCTGTGCAGCCCCCGAGAGAGCCGGCCGGCGGTGTGCCACTCCCCTGCGGAAGTGGGGAGTGTGGCAGGGGGAACCGCCCTTCCACGGAGGTGGAAGGGACAGTAGCCAACCCGGGAAGAACCAGCAGCAAACCCGGGGAGGGCCGAGCAGACGAAAGAACAGCGCAGGGTCCTGTGTCGTTCCTCCACGAAGAGGGGGAGTGACATAATGGTGCCGTGACTCGGATAGAAAACCTAGGACGGATAGGAAACTTAGGAGGGAAGAAACGGGAAGAAGTGGAAAATGCCGGAGAGAGAGACTAGCAAACAGCCTAGGGAAAAGCCGGACGAAAAAGGTGCCAGAAGAAGCTATTGAAAGCCTAGGCATAGACTCGGATACGGACTGTGGGAAAGAAGTTAGGATTTAAAGTGAAAGCAAGAAGAAACTTAGACTCAGATATGGACTGCAGGTTGAAAGTGAAAGTGAAACCTATAAGAAACTTAGACTCGGATACGGACTGTGGGGAGAGGCCAGGAGAAATGAGGGAGGAATATTGTTGGAAGAAAACTTAGGGAAACATACCGGGTAGAGAAAAATGTTAGGGAGGATGAAGCCGCGAGTGCAGGCCGAGGCGGAAACGTAAGCCACCTTGGAATTCTTCAAGTCACCCCGGGGAGCAAGAGGCGAAGATCTGGAACCAGAGACGTGGGCCGCCAGGTTGGAATTCGCCAGGTTAGTCCGGGGAACTTGGACTGAATGCCGGTGGTGGCGGAAACATTCGCGGAAGCCGCTGCGTGCAGAGAGAGCACCGGGCGTGAATAGATAGGGAACGCGGGGCTGGCGCGAGGCCGTGGTGCGGGCGCGAAGTGCGTGGAGACCGCGGAGCGTGCGCGCGAAGCCGAGCCGTGCAGAGCCGGGAGCCCGCCGGCGGGGCGAGGCGCCGGGAAGCCACGCAGAGCCGTGAAGCTGCCGCGGGGCGAGCCACCGAGAAGCAGCCTCGGGGCGGGCGCCGGGAAGCCGCGGGGATAAGAGAAACAGAAGTTTAGAAGTAAAATGAGAGAAATAGGAATGTTGGTAGACAGACGTAAAATGGGAGAAATAGGAATGCCCGGAGATAGAGAAATAGAGAAATAGAAAGGCCTCCCCACAATACTGCAATGAGAAGGCTTGGATTCGGTCTGCCTGATTAGTAAGGCGGTAAGCACCAGCGGGCAGCTCGACCAGAGTATGAGCTGCAGGTCACCGAAGATAGGCACGAATCAACACCAATAAGTCACCCCACAACATAGCAATGAGAGAGCTTGGATTCGGTCTGCCTGATTAAGGCGGTAAGCACCAGCAGGCGGCTCGACCAGAGTATGAGCCGCAGGTCACCGAACACAGGCACACATCAGCGCCTAAAAACCTCCTCACAGCATGGCGAGGAGAGGACCCGGATTCGGTTTGCCTGATTGATAGGACTTGTAAGAACCTGTGGCAACTCTAGCAAGTAGAGCAGAGTGTGTGCCGCGGGACACCGAAGACAGGCGCGTATCAACGCCAAAAAATAAAAAGAAAGGGGGATCTGTGGGGAGCAACCTGGATTAGACTGAGTTACTGGAATTAAGACTTATTCTATGCATCTGCTCTCCCACAATATGGCGCTGGGAGAGAAGAAAACAGCTTTTACACAGCTGCCTCCAGTTCAACCAATAAACTGTAGGACTTGCTCCTGATTGGAGAGCAGCGTACTCGGCGTGTGGGTAGCAGAGTTGGGATTGGCAGAGGAGGACTATAAAGGAGGAGAGAGACGGCATGCACCAGGAACATCTAAGGGGAACATCTGAAGGAACACCTGTGCAGCCCCCGAGAGAGCCGGCCGGCGGTGTGCCACTCCCCTGCGGAAGTGGGGAGTGTGGCAGGGGGAACCGCCCTTCCACGGAGGTGGAAGGGACAGTAGCCAACCCGGGAAGAACCAGCAGCAAACCCGGGGAGGGCCGAGCAGACAAAAGAACAGCGCAGGGTTCTGTGTCGTTCCTCCACGAAGAGGGGGAGCAACATAATGGTGCCGTGACTCGGATATGAAGCCTAGGCAGGGTTTAGTGTCGTTCCTCCACGAAGAGGGGGAGCGACAGCATGTTATAAGGAATGTTGGTTCTGATTATTGGTATTTTGCAAACACAAATGAACTCATGAATGATAAATTTTTTTGTTTATTATTTTTGACAGATAGTTAGACCATGAGAGAGAGAGACAAAGGTCTTCCTTCTGTTGGTTCACCCCCAAAATGACCACAATGGCCGGAACTATGCTGATTCGAAGCCAGGAGCCAGGTGCATCCTCCTGGTTTCCCATGTGGGTGTAGGAGCCCAAGCATCTGGGCCATCCTCCATTGCCTTCCCGGGCCACAGCAGAGAGCTGGACTGGAAGAGGAGCAACCGGGACTAGAACCCGGCGTCCATATGGGATGTCAGTGCCACAGGCGGAGGATTAACCAAGTGAGCCACAGCGCTGGCCTCCATGAATGCTAATTTAAAAGTTTACTGAGAAAGTGAAGAAAAAATTTACCTTCATATAAAGATCTCTGAAAAATTCTTTTCTCTCCTTTATTGTAATATCTGAATTAAAAGTGTTTTTGTTCTGATTTAAACAGTTCAATAATTGTTGAATTAGCAAGTTCCAAGTTGTCTGTCATATCCTTAGCATTTCTGAGATCTGCAAGTCTCTGCATTTCATCCTTTAAATTTCTTTGTTTTAAACCCTTCATGTCTATGAAGAGACACTCTCATGAGGTCTCATATGAAAAGGGCATGAGGAATCATAATGATGCAGTCCCATCAGCTTCTTGGTTCACCACCCTACCCACCACTCCTCTGCATCCTTGCAAGCCACCAAAGATTGCACCTGCTCTTTTTTGTTGCAGGAGATTGCATCTACTTCCTCTATTGGTGGTCCATTCTGCCCACTCCCCTGCACCCCAGTCCTCACGGAGCTTTTACAGCACATATGCAGCTCTTTAGTGCTAGAGTAGTTGCCATGGACTTCTATCTGATCCACCCAGACTCCTGCGCATTCCTTCACAAGAGTACTTACACTACTGCATTGCAACAAGCCACTGGTTTTCCTTCAGTAGACTGTAAGCTCTGTAAAAAGGTTCTGTGTCCTTTTATCATTTGAATCCAAGTGTATTTCATAGTGTCTGATAAACAGAAGGCACTCAATCCATATTTGTTTAATGGCTGAATAATATTTGGATGACAAGTTACATTTTTATGGCATTATATTCATGTATATCACCACATTGGCTTCTTCATCTAACTCTGGTACCTAAGTATTATTCCTATTTTACAGTGAGAACTTGAGCATACATAGGTTAAAAAATAGGTTATAGAAATTTGGCTGAATCTCTTAGCTACTTTGTCTATAGCTTCACTCGTTAATAAAAGGTTTTCATAGGTTATTCAGGAAGTAGTTTTTGAATATGGATCCCATGTGGGCTCCGGGTTCTAGTCCCAGTTGCTCCTCTTCCAGTCCAGCTCTCTGCTGTGGCCCAGAAGGGCAGTGGAGGATGGCCCAAGTGTTTGGGCTCCCACCTGCATGGGAGACCAGGAAGAAGCACCTGGCTCCTGGCTTCGGATCGGCACAGCGCCGGCCGTAGCAGCCATTTGGGGAGTGAACCAACAGAAGGAAAACCTTTCTCTCTGTCTGTCTCTCACTGTCTATAACTCTACCTTTTGTCAAAAAAATAATAATAAAAGAATATGGAAGTCTTGACTATGGTGTCTTGTAGAAATCAAGTGTAATTCTTATGATTCTGATTCTCTTGGTAATACCCTTAAACTATGGTACTGTCAAAAGGGAAATATTAGGAAAATGATCTAAAGTGCAATTTTATTCCATATGCCTGTTTAAACTATGTAGTTCTGGGATAAGTAAAATAACATGTGGCTAGATTTTTTTAGAAGTTGAATATTGCTTTATCTGTGAGCCACAGGTCTATGGACTACATTGAAAGATAAAGCAACTACCCAGCTTTTTAAAATAAGTGGTATGAGTAGCAACAAGTGGGAAAAAATCAGAAAAACATAATTAACCAATCCTGTAGTATGCTGTTGTGTGTGTGTATGTGTATGTAGCAGAAAAATTTGTGCACTAAACATTTTGTGTCAGAGTTATACAAGAGGGTGTTTTACCTCAGCACAACAAATGGAAAAGTCTCTGAGAATCTGCCATTTTCCCTTCTTATTCCCTTTGCTCCTCTCTACTGTCCCCACAGTCCTCTTCCTATGTACAATGGATATTGGATATTTCCTTGCGGCTCTGGGATGCCTGTATCCAAAGATGATGTTCTGGATCATTCATTTATTCTAAGAGTAAATGAACAAGTCTAATCTTTTGAGATATTTTAAAGATGATTGTGGAAAGGCCTGTGCTCAACCTAAAGGAATAAATCCCCCCGAAGTAGAGTAGTTTTTTAAGCAATCTGAATTGATGATTTGGGGTTAGAATTTCTGTTGCCTTTAACTTATACCACATAAGTGATAGTTTGTCCTGGGTATTCATATGGCCAGCTCTAGGGATAGGAGCAACTTCTACCAAAATTAAGACTAATCTAAGGCAAGTCACATCTGGAGAACCTCCTGAAAGCCTCAATATTTGGAGATTGCATAGAATTGATCATATTAAGAGTGATTGCGATGTAGCTCAGGTGGTTTTGGATTAAATGGTCAAGATATGACATTTAGAAAGATCCTGGTGAACAAGACCCCAGCAGAAGGATCAGGCCATCAAGGAGAGAGGCGCCTTTCTCCGAAGGGAGGAAGGAACCTCCACTGTGATACGGCCTTGACTAAACAAGTTCAGAGTTGGTGAACTCAAGGGGCTTCCATAGCCTAGACAGCTCATAGCAAGAGTCTCAGGTGATTGCTGACATCATAAATAAGAGTGCCAATTGTTAAATCAACAACGGGAGTCACTGGGTTCATGCTCCCCACGTAGGATCTCTATCCTTAATGTGTTTAACTATGAAACTCAAAAACAACACTACTAGTCGAACAATACCCTATACCTGGTTCGGTTGGGTGAGTGCAGCCTGTTGAAATCCCTGCTTAGTATATACTAAGTTGATCTTCAGTATATGAAGGTAATTGAAAATGAAACGTGATGAAGGGTGTGATGGGAGAGGGAGAGGGGTGGGCCACGGGAGGGAGGGAGGTTGGGGGGGGAGCCACAACAATACAAAAGTGGCATTGTATATTCTACTTAAAACTATTGGTTGAACTCTGTAATTAATACACAATTACTCTTAGGTATTTAATTAATGCTATAACTAGTACTCAAATAGTATTTTTCACTTTGTGTTTCTGTGTGGGAGCAAAATGTGGAAATCTTTACTTAATATATGCTAAATTGATCTTCTGTATATAAAGATAATTGAAAATTAAAAAAAAAGATATAACATTTAAATGACCATTGAATGTGGCAATTGTTCTGGTTCTTCAAATGGGCATCAATGTGGGGAGTGCACTGGTTTTTCATTCCACTACCATTGAGCCCTAGGAGTTAGGATTTACTCGTGTGCGAGTAATGGTTAAGCAGCAAGTCTGCAATCCCTTCTCTCAAAATGCAGGTGAGATGGCCTTTGGTAAGAAAAAATGTGATGGTCTAAAGGCAGACCTGCAAGCACAATAGTAGTATTTGTAAGCAGGAAAGTTTTTACGAAACATTTTTAACCGAATGAATCTGTTCTGTAGGATTCATTATGACAGACAAATCTAGGATTTATGGATTCTTATGACTCCTATAAAATGCCACAGAAGCAATGTCAACAACTATGGAAGACATAGCAATAGTTCATGACCAAAAGGGCTTCTTCTGTGACAGTGATGTGATCCTACACTTTGCTTGGACACATCATTTGGTAGATGTGGGCATAGGATGTATCTAATATGTCATAAATATATAGCCTGGAGATCTGAATTGGTGATGCTGAACCTCTTGCTGCTTTACTTTACTAATAATGTCATGAATACAATGAGCAAAGTCTGACATTATAGGTTAGATATCTCTTTGGTGTAAGTTTAATTTGTTAATTTGACTTTTGTTTATCTCATAATTTTTGCGAAGATGTCATTTGGTGATTTTGGGATTAACTCTAGTTCCTTTTGTTTAATTATATCACTTTAGTATATAATTTAAGCTCTGTGCCTCAGTTTTTATCTTTGTGAAATAGGAAGTGATAAATACCTATATTGCAGTCATCTGGTTTCCCTAGGGAAAAAATCTGAAAATTGGTTAAGTATTTATAGTTTTGTATGGGGGATCCTTGAGGAACAACTAAAAATACATACGCAATCTAATGAGTCATATTTTCCTAATGTCTTCCCAAGAAGAAGTTACGTTCTGAGTTCTAGATATGACTCCGTTTCATATTTGTTCACCCATGCCACCCCCAGCTCTTTTGAGGAATCTATAAAAACTTTGAGAACAACTTATTTCTAAGAATAAAATGTCTTTTAATGTTCCACTTACTCATCATTTTCCAAGAAAAGGATGATAGAGGTAAAGAGCTCCAAGGGTAGAATGGTAACAGAGGTAATTTGGTTCAATATCTATCCTTCCATGTCCTGGACTGAAATTATGAAAGTTAAAATTATGAAAGTTATGGAACTTAGCCATACTTATACAGCTATCAACATTACTGCTGGGTCTTGAAACTTTTCTGTCTAGAGAACTCACCACCCTGTTTTTCCATGGAAATTGTCTACCACTTATTCTCTCTTCACAGGGTTCTTCTGGGAATGACCTCACCTTGGCTCCAAAACTGAATAAATGGCCATTTCTAGTCAGAATACTTCATCTTCCCATTGGCTCATAAATGGACTTGCTACCCAAGTTAGGTTAATGAGAACAGCACTGAGACTTCTGCTAGAGCCCACAGGAAAGAGTAGTTCTACTTATGCTGAAATTTGTTCAGTGGGGAGAACATGAACCAAGAGGTTCCTGGTGTCAGTGAAGGGGAAAACATTGCCCGAGAATAAAATACACACAGGTTGAAGAGGGAGGGAGAGAAGGCACACCAACCTGGATAAACCTGGTGGACTCTGATTTCAGCTACATGAGGCAATGAATTCTCATTTTGCTTAGGTGAATTTGATTTGAATTTTTTTCCATAAAATAAGAGTTCTAATTTAGATATGATGATCTCTGATTTCAGGTTCTGTTAATAAAAATTTAACATTTTTATTGTGTGAAAAGTGTTCATTTTTGCAAGGAAAAGACACAACATAATGGCATATATAGATCCAAATATAATTTTGGAAGGACAAAATAGTTTCAGTTTTTGCAACTGATCCATGGAAGGGAAAAGTTCACCTCTACTTACATTCTTCTTACATAGTTTTCTATTGTAGTTTACTGTGCTTGTATATCTGTGTTACATTAGATTGTAAGCTTCCTGAGGACAAGAGCTGTGCATTTTTACCTATTTTTCTTTAGCAACCTGAACAAACTTCATTGATATGCCTAATACTTATTGAATGTTCACTAAGTGTGTCAGGCACACATTGATGTTTCACTTGTTTGATCTTTACAATTAACTGAGGAGATGGGTCCCATTTTATAGATTGGGAAATGTGTACACATTCATAGCTGTCAATGGTAGAGTGGAAATTCTAACCTATATGGCCTGTCTCCTAACAAGTGTCCTGCTTTACTTGGCTTATGACTATTCTCATAAGTACTTGATGAATGAAAGAATAAGTATCTCTGCATTAGAGAACTTTTTAAAAAAGGCTTATTTATTTGAAAAGTAGAGTGACAGGGAGAGGCAGATCTTCCATCCACTGGTCCACACACCAAATGGCTGCAACAGCCTATTCTGTGCCAGCCCCAAGCCAGGAGCCAAGAACTCCATCTGGGTCTCCCATGTGGGTCGCAGGGACCTAAATACTTATGCCATTTCTTCCAACCCAGGTGCATTAGCAATAAGCCGGATTGGGGATGGAGCAGCTGGTACTTGAACTCATGTTCTGATACAGTATGCAGTCTCACAAACAGTGGCTTAACCCACTGTGCCACAACTCTATACCAGTTGGGTATGAAACTTTGGTGATATTTGGGGAAACCAAGTCAGTATAGAGAAAAACTAGAGCCTGTATTTTTTGACTTTTTTTTAAACAACTTATTTAGTTGAAGGGTAGAGTTACAGAGAAAGGGAGAGAATTTCCATCCCCTGGTTCACTCTCCAAATGGTTGCAAAAGCCAGGGCTGGGCCAGGCTGAAGCCAAAAGCCAGGAGTTTTGTCCAGGTCTCCTACACAGGTGCAGGGGCCCAAGTACTTGGGCCATCTTCTCCCTTCCCATCCACATTAGCAGGGAACTGGATCAGAAATGGAACAGCTAGGGCTTGAACTGGTGCCTAAATGGGATGCCAGTGCTGTGGGAGATGGCTTAACCTGCCTGCACCACAGCACCAGCTCCATTTCTTGACTCCTACTGGAACACTTTTCCATTGTACAATGCTGACCTAGGAATCAAAAATGTAGGTAAGATACTTTAAATTTGAGGATCCAGGTGATTTATAGTTAATCTTTTGTGAAAATGTTATACTGATAATCTTCTACATGAAAACATTTTAAAGAAATGTCTTCCTACTCAATATCCCCAAATTAAAAATCACAATGAGAAAAATACCTAAATAGAAAAAAAATTCTAAAGCATTTTCCTAAAAATGAAGAAAAGAATTAATGTGGGTGATGGGTGATCAGGTCTGCATAAATATAGCAGGTGGCATTACTTATATTGTCATATCATGTTAGTAACTTAAACCAAGTAAACTCCATATAAACTGTTCCTTTTATCTGTAATTTAGAAAGCCTAGAAATAAGGGGCTCTGAGACAAAGATAGGCCATGTTTTCCATGGAAGATTCCTGGAAACTGAAAAATAAGGTCTTTTAACATTTTGTGATATAACTGTTTTTCTTGGCTTAAGCGTAGGTTTTAAAAAATGGTGCTCATTGTTTTGCTTGTAGTTCTTTTATGCATGGACACCCGTGCTGATGATGCATTCAGTTTAGGAGAATTTTCCAATTGAAAAAGTGCTCTAGAGAAGTTTAAGCGCCATGAATCACCCAGACCTCATCTAAGTCTCGTGAAAGCAAGGGCTGTGAAAGGCAGTCACAGAGAGAAGACATATTGTAGTTGTGCTGCCTGATTCAACTAAATAGAAAAATATTTTGTAAAGACATGAGAATCTCAGGCATGTGGCAGAGTGGTAAGGATAAATGTCACATTCTGTCAGAAAGGCAAAAATGAGTGACCTGCTTCCCCCTTCCTCCCCCCTCCTCTTCTCACAAGGGGGCCAGACCTGGAATCCCAGCTGCATGTGCAGATAAAATATAAACCCCAAGGTTCTTGGTTACAGTTACAAAAACATAGGAACTACAGCAGGGGCATTTTCCCCCCTTAATTATTTTCTAATGGTTTTTGGACAATCAAAATGGATTTGATCAGGTGATCAATACATTTTTAGTATGAAAGATATTGCTAATAATAATACTAGTTACAGTAGCAACAGCTAATGTTTCCTGATCAAAGGGATTGATTGCTTCCCCCCATCTGTCCACCTGACACTAGGAGCCTGGATGAGTAGAATTTTTCCTTTTGCCTGTTCATTCTGAATAGGATGCTTATTTTTTTCATCAATAGATTAAAACAGCAAGTGTGTCAGCTGCTTTGGGATTTCCTCTTCCAACCCTTAGTAACCTTTGATGTTTCCTTAAAATAACTCTTTGAGAGCTTTGGGGTCTTTTCTGTTCATGTGTCAAAGTGCCTGTCCCATCAATGGGGATTTTCAGCCCGGAAGATATCTTAAGGGCCTTGGTGCTGTTAGGGCCTTTGGGAATCTGGAACTTCTCATCAGCAGTGGGGAGTATGTGAAGAACGGATCTATTTATCTGCCTGACTTTTTCTGTATGCACTCCGTTCTCACTTTAAAGGAGCAAACTGTAGCTGATAAAGTCTGTGGTACAGATGATCTGGGTATGGATTTTTATTGTTTTTCTTTCCCCCACATTCTCTGGCGATCTCTATGTCTTTCTCTCCCCCAGTACCTCCCAGGGAAGCAACCCTGAGGGATGACTT